GGCTTCTCCACTGCCATTGCTGGTTCATGTTGGGATTCTTTCATCCAACATGAATCCTTAGCTACTAAAAGTAGTGAACGGCTGGGTTGGATTATACTGTGGTTTTCTCTTGTCTGGACCATCTGGACTACCAGGAATGAGGTAATCTTTAGAGGTAAATCGATGGATTTTGACAAAGACTTCCGATCAAGTTCAGGCTCAAGCCTTCCTCTGGGTCAAGAGCAAAGGAAAGGAAGTACATTTCTGCGTCTCTGATTGGATCTTAAACCCCAGGTGCTGCAAGGTTTTGTAAATGGGTCTCCCAACGCTATACTGTTTTTTGGTTCTTTATTCTATTAGGGATTGACTAATGTATACGGGTTTGGGTACCCCTTGTACTCATTCAATTAAATCTTTTGCCTTTCGAAAAAAAAAATAATTAAAAAGAATAACAAACTAAAATAAAAGCTAACTAAGATGTAAAATACTAAGGCATTTGATTTTATCTTCATGAATTAACATAACTTTTAGATTATTATACTTTTAAGATATTTACTATTATATGAAAACAAAATTTCTTATTCTATTTTATATACTTTTTGAAGTTATATCAAATATATTTTCACATATTAATTCACTATCACTACTAGAAAATGCAGTATAATCGACAGAAAATACTGTCGATTATACAAGTATTTCTATTGATTATATCTTAATCGACAGACATAATCGACAACAATTTTTGACGTAAAAACAACAGTAAAAAATGACTATAATCGACAGAAATTTTTTCTGTCGAATATAATTATATAATCGACAGCCATTGACTGTCGAATATATGTATAATCGACAGCTAATGGTTGTCGAATATATTTGGTAAAAAAATAAAAAAAATACAAAATTTATTAAAATCCAAAATTATATTTATAATTTTTTTGTTAATTAAATTATATAATAAAATAATAAAACAAAATTCAACACAATTATCAAACCCCCCAACAATATATTTATGAAAAAATTTTAAGAGTAATATATAATATAAGAAATAGCAGATAAATATAAATAAAACTAAAATAAGAATTCTAACCTTAATTAGTTTTTGATAAATATCCTGCCAAAAATAAGAAAAAAAATTGCATTGGTACACATTATAACTTTATTAAAAGAAAAGAAAATAAAAAGTATAATCAAATTTTAAAAAAAAATTACCTCATAATTATTGTATCAAAATCTGCACACACACAAAAAAAAAAAA